ATTCAAGAAATTCAACAACATAACAAAAGCAATTGTACTCCTCTAATTTCTAAAACTAGAAGAAAAGAACAAGAAACCAGATGCCCAACGATATCCTTAAGCAAATTTAGAATCAACAGCAGCACAGATCATACTGTATAACTCTTAAATTCGCCAAAAAACAGAAAGAAAATTCAAAGAACGCTTTTAACCAGTACTTGGAAAAAAAAAAGAACGTTGGTTAATGTTCATTCAAGAAATTCAACAACCAACATATCAATAGCAATTATACTTCCCTAATTTTTAAAACTAAAACCAGATGCTTAACGACACCCTTAAGCCAAACTTAGAATCAACAGCAGCACAGATCATACTGTATAGCTCTTGAATCCGAAAATCTAATGATTTATTTAACTCTACAAGTGATTCTTCAAGGTTATCTATTATAAGCTCAATATTCTACTTTCTAGAGTGTTTAAATTACCGGAAGATCTTGTGTTTAAATTACCAGAGGATCTTGTGTTTAAATTACCAGAGGATCTTGTGTTTAAATTACTGGGAGGATCTTGTGTTTAAATTACCGGAGGATCTTGTGTTTAAATTACCGGAGGATCTTGTGTTTAATAATAAAAATAAAACTTAGACTTTTTAATATAAAGCCTTACTTATGTTTATTTTAATGCAAATTTAGAAGATCTTAAACCTGAAAATCTAATTTACTTTCGCTTGGGTTCTTTGTATTAGTTAAAGTACAGTACAATGATAAAAGTTAATTAGCGTTAGATCAAGATTATGCATTATCCGATTTAGAAATTATAATCGTCAAATATTACTACGTATTTGACTATCAAATAATTATTTGATTATGCCGAGCATTAGTGATGTATGAATTACACAAAATCTAAGTGAAGCTACTAGATAAATCCAGTGAATTTACAGGGTATGAGAGCTCACTTGGCAAGACCCAAGTGAAGAGATAACACAGATCTTTGACAGTTACTATGTAAAGGATGATCAACCAGATATCAGAAAACCAGACAGGATCGAGGTGTTTGGCAAGACACTATACCAACCAGGCTGTTGAATAACCGGAGGAAGGATTCTGCTCTTCTGGGCTATTAGATTAGGAGTTTGAGATTCCAAAGGTATGGGAAGAAGTTATAAAGTAGATACCAGGATTTGGGTGAACTCTACAAAGGCAGTAGTAGGTAATTGTAACAGCCTCAGCTCGTAAGTACTTGTTCTCAAACTTGGTGTAAGTTACCGAAAAGGCCTAGTCTGGAAATATATGAGATATAGAAAGATTAGGAGGGTATATACTACATCCTCCCTAGGGTAACCTGGTAAATATGAGAACTCTACTAGGTTATCTATAGAATTAGGACACAAGTAATATAGCACATGTCGATTAAGTAGTTTTCAATGAAGCAGTACAAGGTTATGGGTTGACATAATTGAGGTGATGATGCAGGACGGAAAACATTAGAGAGTTTAATTAAATAGCTCAAGTAATAGTGGATTATAGGTACAGCATCTAGTGTAGACCCTAGTAATAGGTAGCTACTTAATTAGGTGCTCAAAAGACGCAAATATGGCTAGCATATACTCTTGTTAACCAAGAATGTACTACTAATATACCTAATAAAAATTTGCCCTTCCATGATATTGCGAAGGTAAAAAAAAACCTTTGTGTGATAATTATAAAAACTTTTTATAAGTTTCATATGCAGCTTTCTTTTTTAGTACAAAATTTGAATATCCAATTTCTATGTATTATGATTTACACTAAATAACTAATTTTTAAATATTATTAAAAAAATTTTGTAAAATAGGAATTATGTAGCAACCAACATGTGGTATGCTTTTATTTTAGCTTAGAAAATAGGCGGTGAAGCTTAACAAAATTTAGAGTAAACAGGAAAAAATAGGTCAAAAAAATTTAAGTGGCCAAATTTGGCCGCTAGACGGTTTAAGAAATAATAAGGTTATGCTCATAAAAAAGTTAAACTAATATATTTTTAATATATTGGATCTAATAAAACTATAAAATTATAAATTGTGGTGTGACTATAGCTAGGGCTGTCTGTATATATATTATTTGTTAATAAATCTAAATTATAGATCTATATAGTAATTGCTAACATTTTATTAAAAATAAAATTTTTTAATTTTTATTTTTACTTGTATTATATTTTTGAAAGTACTCTAGATTGTACGAACAAATTGTAAGTATATAATTAACGATGAAAAAAAAGTTGGCATATATGTATAAAATATTTCCAAATTCCCGAACGAAATCATGGTCGGTTGGGTTACTCAAAATTTTACTAATAAAATCATTGCTTACTCACTAGGTAAAAACGTCAACTAATAATTTTGGTTAGCGTTAGCTAATATTGCTTACAGCCGATGATTCTGATCCGGGGATGAGTATTGCTAACTTGCCCCCTGGTTAACATAACACACCCTATTATTATAACTCAAAAATGGCTTAAATAACTATGTTTGATGCACTAAGTAAAGATAATCAGCACTTAGCCTATTTCTGACCCTAATCCTAAATTTTAACTTTTTTTTTAAATATTATTTCTAATTTTAATTTTAAAATTTGAAATAATCTACTTGTCGCCGGCGGTGGCAGTACCGGATTTTATTTAGAGTTATATTTAGAGTTAGAATGGGTCATAATATATGGTAAAATTATGCAAGAAATATTTTTTGTTAAGACACGGAAGTTGGTTTCATAAGCATAATTTTGAGTTATTTTGATTTGAAATTTTTGAGGTTTTGAATCGTGCAATCTGATTGGCCTGGATTGTCACCGCCGGCGACAAATAGATTCGCCCTTAAAATTTAACCAGGGGTTAAATTAGTTATAAAAAAAAAAAAAATCCCGCCGGGCTAAAGTATAGACGTTTTTTCGAAGCTAGAAATGGCTTTTACAATGATTTTTTGTTAGTGTTGTCTCATACTTTAAACTGTATAAATAAGCCACCCGGACAATTGATTTACGTTAATAATACAAAGTCCTTCAAGAACTTAACACCGAAGAGATCTTTTTTGATCTGCTTTATGTCACGGGACTATTGAATTTTTCTGGCAAGAAATTATTTTTTAAAACTTCATTCATTATGTTAAATGTTAACATTGACACCCAACGAATACTGAAACTGTTACAAATGTTATAAATGGCATTTCATCTACAGGCAATGGATATCCACAGTATATTTATAAAATTCATATATAACTTTGATCATTTTTTTATTGGTTAATATTTTTATTTATTCTAATGGGATTATTTTTCTAGTGAAATTTTCATTGGAAACACCAGAAAAAAATCTGGGAGTCCAGCGAGTTCCAAAATCTAGTCGACAACATTGGATGGTGTGACATTACTTCCATTATTTTTCACCAAAGGTTCCCATGTCTTGATTTTGAATCTTACACCCTTAAAATTTTGCATTGCTTTGTTAGCCTCACGCGAAGTTTTAAAGATAGCTAAAACTGTCGGTCGCTTATTAGGCGAAGTTTGGGGTGGATGAATCATTTTAATAGTTGCATTAGCAAATGTAATATCAACTAAATTGTCAGATTCAGCAAAATCATAAAGTTCGATGATATGATTTGGTTGTGGTGGTTCGTTAGCTACAAATAAGAAGTGGTTGGTTAATACAAAGATTATTAAATTCCTAATTTAATTATATTTTACCTTCACTGGGCTTAACACCTTCGTATGGTACTTGCATAGAATAATCAAATAAAAGCCCACTTTCTTTCTTTTTGTTATTTCCTGATGGTGATATAGAAGATGCACGATGGTGATTACTTTGATTTTTTCCCTGCGAATGGTTTGAAGAAAGGCTCAAAGACCGCATCATAGTACCATTCACGACGGAATTGTGATTCGCATTAGTTAAAATATCATTTCCGTTATTTTTCCGACGGGTGTTGACGTGATTCTGATTTATAACTTTTGCACCAGAAGGTACTCCGGCACATGATGTGGGAGTTGGTTTATTATTTGAAACAGATGTTCCTTTTGATGATGTTGCTGGTGGTGATTGTCTGGATGGTAAAGGAACTAACGCTAACGTACCAGAAGATGGCTGAACTGAAATGGGTAAGGTGGAATCGGAGGCAGATACTGCAATATTTGATGACTGTCCTGAATTATTTGGATCAAATAACTCTGAGGACTTTGGAGGTCTTATAGCACCGGTCAGTGATGCAGGTTGTTGAGGAAATCCCATAATTGGAGGAGGCATCATATTCATACGTGGCAAACTTACATGCTCCGGAGGTACTGGTCCTGGAAACATTTGATTACCATTATTATTACGACGAGGACCAGAAGCCGGTCCCGAGATCGGCGTTGGAACAAATCCCGGAAACATATGTGGAGGCATTATTGTCAATCCGGATGTATTCTGTGCAGAAAATTCCGCTGATGCTTGAGCTGGATTGAAAACTCCCATCGTAGTAGGAGGATCAGAATTATTATTATTATTCCATACCGAATTGAAGAACTACATTAAAAATAATAATAAATTAACAATGTGATAAATATTCTATTAGTTATTGTAAATTGTTTATTAAAAATGTACTTACTGGCCCCTCACGTTGTTGAGGTGTAGGAACAAATGTAGAAGGTCTATTGTTCGTTCGTTTTTGGTCAGGTTGTTGATCATTCGATTTATTCTCACTCGTTCCTTCTCCACCATTCATATTTCCCCACTGGTTTTTAGTCCAAAGAGAATTATTATTTTCAAATCCAGTTTGGGATATTGGAGAATTAGGTGAAGTAGTTCCGTCTCGAACCGATGTTAATTTATTAGAGTTTCCATCTGCAGTAGACGCAGACGAATTCACTACATGATTTGCTTCGCCAAATGAAGTAGGTTGTGGGTGTTGACTCATATATTTCAAAGGATTATGGCCTTGAGTTGATGCAAAATTTGCATCATTTTGTTGAGCGGGACGTGGTAAGAAAGAATTTCCAGTATTTGATTGCTGATTGAATAGAGATGGCCCACCACCCATTTCCGGAGGTGAAGTAAACGATTCACCCCATACATTCCTTACATTTGGACGACCATACGGCCCGGCAAGTGTAGGATTCCATTCATGAGGAACATTCATGTAAGGATTTCCCATATGGTGCATCTCCGGTGGTAACATTGGAGGTTGAATAGGTAACATGTTCACATCATACATGTTTAAATGTGGTCCACTGAAGAATGGAGGTCCGAATGGTCCTGGTGGCATCATAGGTGGAGGACCCGGAAAATTACCAACCGGTCGTGGTTGTTTAGACATATAAAATGAACGATCAATTGGAAGATTGAAATTAATCGTTTGTAACCTTTGTGTTTGTTGTTG